TAATCATTTTTTAGTAAATGATTACATAATTAAAATTTTTAGGTGAACTGTCCCTTTAAAAGTATGGTTCACCCAAAAATGAATATTTGCTGAAATTTTTCTTCATCTAAACAGATTTAGAGAAATTTAGCATTACATCACTTGCTCACCAAAGGATCCTCTGCAATGAATGGGTGCCGTCAGGATGAGAGTCCAGACAGCTGATAAAAACAGCTGGTAATCCACACGACTTCAGACCATCATTTAATGTCTTGTGAAGTGAAAAGCTGTGTTTGTAAGAAACAAATTCATCAAAATGTTTTTAACTTCTAGCTAAAATACTCCAAAATAGTCCTCTATCCATAATATTGTCTCGTCTGAATCAGGAGAGAAATACAGTATGCATAGATCAAGCACAAGTACCATGTAAATAGTCCAAAACAGTTCTAAACAAATATGTTGGTGGATTTTGATGTGAGAGGACAACAGTGGATGGGATTTTTTCACTGGAGGAAGCGTTATTATGGATTATGGACATGTATTTTGGCCAGCAGCAACGGTTTAAAGTTAAAACCCCTAAATGAAGAATTTGTTTCTTACAAACACACAGTTTTTCACTTCACAAGATTTGAATTGAAGGAAGTGTGGATTACGTGTGGATTATTGTGATGTTTTTATCAGCTGTCTGGACTCTTATTCTGACTGCACACATCCACTGCAGAGGATCCATTGGTGAGCAAGTGATGTAATTCTAAATTTGTCATGATGAAGAAACAAACTCATCTACATCAAAATTACAAAAGTAAGCAAATTTTCATCTTTGGGTGAACTATTCCTTTAAGAGTCATTCATTAGAGGAATAATGAATGTCATAACCAGGTGGATATAGAATATGTTCAGTGGTGACATCCCACCTTCATCATGACGGCTTGTTCTTTTTCTCACAGGACTCTTTGGCACTGGGGAAATCTGAGGAGGAAGCACTGAAGAACTTTAAAGTGAAATTTAATGAAGCTCTAAGAGAGAGCTGGAAGACCAAGGTGAACTGGATGATGCACACTTTTGCCAAAGATAACAGATAAATGGCACTTGATCACAGGAGACCCACTGAAACCCTCTTGATGCTGAGTTTTTATTTAAACCAATGCAGCTTTGAACACAATCAATGTTGCACTGCTGTCTAGCATTTATGGCATTATACTTCCATGCAAAGGCAAAAAAAGGCATGACCAATATCATAGTTCAAATGCGGCTAGATTTGGTGTTTAAAATCCGGAAATTCAGTCAAAAAAGTTCCTGCATTTTAATTATTTTTTTTTTTTTGCAGGGCAGTATATACATCAACAGCTGTTTAGCGAATGTTTACATCTGTGACGTAATACTGAATAATTCTATACATTTGTTTTAGTGAGACCTACTGCTTGAAATGAGAGTAATTTCAGATACATGTTGTATTTGCAACACACTGCACTGGGAATCGAAGCTACTAATTTAACAATCTATTGGCGTGCCACTAATTTAACTAGCATCTCTGGTTTGTATCTGTCACATTTGTGTACCTGCACCGATTAAGTGAGATTAATGTATTTATCATTTATAACTGTACAGCATAAAAAATTGCCTTTTGTTCTGAAGAAGAAAGCACTTTGTGTTTTCATACGGTTTACATTTTTGTTTTGTCACATGGATGTGTTTGGTTGTACATATTCTTTAGTGTATCATACGTATATTTACATTCCTTAAAACAGTATTTTTTCATTTGAATTATTTGTATAATAGGAAAATTGATGATCAGGAAAGCCTTTGTATAGTGGTGTACATGAGAAGACATTTTTTGTCAGTGTAGAAATGAGCCTTAAATATTTTGTATTTGTGGGGTGTTCTGTGCCTTTGGGATGAGAGACAAGCCATCTTGAAGTCGTGTCCAAAGAGTTTGCTTTTTGTTCAGTGAAATGTGTTCAAAGGATGTATGCCTTGTACTACTGTACTATAAATCAGGGCAAAAGTGGAATATTGTTGCTCTGTAGAACATTGCGCTGTTAATTGTGTGCCTATTTTGAATATAGAGTCAGTCAAGCTTGTGTTTTCTCTTCTGGTAAACCTTAATCAGTTCCAGAATGTGTCGCCACAGTATTTTCTGACTGAATCCACTGCTACTTGATTCATGAAGATACTTTTTTTTTCTCAACAGATGCGTAAATGTTGTTTATTTTGAATCTTTAAATGTCCTCTAGAATGTGATTTTTTTTTTTAAGAGATTTAAAGTTAAATCCATCTAATCTTTATATATGACAGTCCTATAAACACCCACCGCATGTAAGGAAGATTAGTGGACAGAGGAATAACTTTCAAATAATGAATGGATTTTAGCATTGGTTCAGGTATTGATTACCATCTATTGGACTACTAGCCGAGTACCTCTCATGCTGTGGTTTTGTTCAAGCCATCATTATTTTGTTTTTGATTGTGTACCATGATCTTTAGTCACTTCACAGTGTGAAACGCCAGGATCTTGAATTTCTCTGTTTACTAATGTATTGTTTCAGTTTTAACTGCTTTATGAAGTTTTCAGAGATGTTATGGAAGTGTGATATTCATTCTAATTTTTGTCATAAATTATTGATTATGAAATTGATTTGTGGGGTATTTATTTATTTTAATTGAATAGTTTTTGATAGTAACACAGAGGCACTGGGAAAGGAACCGGACCTTTGACTGTTTATGTATTTGCCATCGGAGGCAGGGAAATAAATTTTTTTTTTTCTGATATTAAATGAATAGTTCACCCAAAAATGAACATTTACTCACCCTCAGGCCATCTTAGATGTAGATGTAGTTTGTTTCTTCGTCTGAAAAGATTTGGAGACATTTAGCGTCATATCACTTGCTCACCAATGGATACAGTGAATGGGTGCCGGTAAAATGAGAGTCCAAACAGCTGAGAAAACTATCACAATAATTCGCAATCCACATGACTCCAGTCCATCAATTAACAGCTTGTGAATTGGAAAAAGCTGTGTTTGTAAGAAACAAATTCATCACTGAGACATTTTTAACTTCCATTTAGTCCTCTATACAAAATCATTCATAAAGTAATTTTGTCTGAGTCAAGAGAGAAATATGATAGATCAAGCGGATTTTGATGTGAGAGGACAACATGCAATGGACTTTTTCACTTTAGGGAAGCGTTGTTATAGATTATTATTTGCATTTTGGCCTAAAGCAGCAGTTTAAACATAAAACGCCTTAATGATGGATTTGTTTCTTACAAAGACAGTTTTTTCACTTTACAAGACGTTAATTGACAGACTGGAGGCATGTGGATTATATGTGGATTATTGTGATGTTTTTATGAACACTCATCCTGACGGCACCCATTCACTGCAGAGGATCCATTGGTGAGCAAGTGATGTAATGCTAAATTTCTCCAAATCTGTTCCGATGAAGAAGCAAACTCATCTACATCTTGGATGACCTGAGGTTGAGTACATTTTCAGCAAATTTTCATTTTTGAGCGAACTATTCCTTCAAGATGACTGTCACAATGTGGCCGCTTTACCCGAATTCACCCTACGTAATTTCCAGAATTCAGATTAGTGTGGGACAGGAAGTTAAATGTGCCTGATCAGCATTTGAATGTTATTATTGTGTGTGTTGGAGAAATATACAGTGAAAATGAAATGGAGATAAAAGGGGAAGTGGAAACCGCACGAGACCTCAATCTTTATTGTGTAATGAATGATAAACGAGGCTTTCCCAGTGTGAGGATACAGTAAATGAGACTGCTGGGAAACTCTCAGTAACATATGCTCTGAGACTACTACGGCTTGGAAATAGTGGTGATAACAGTAAGAACAATGATTTCTGTTTTAGTTCCGGTGAAGGATTTTCTGTAATAGGGCAATCAGTATTTTATCCTGAGAAACATGAATCCCACTCGGGCACCTTAATGGTTTATTGTAAAAGCTTATTATACATATTTAAAAGCTTTAATACCGTTTCTATACTCCGTGGAATTGAAATGGGTTCATTACCTGTCATGTTCATGCTGTCTAAACAAATAGCGGTACTTTATTATTATTATACCATCAAGAAGGTGATATACTCTGTAAGGTTTATGTCAATCATAGGAATATAATGAAACTGTAAAATCCCATTAAATGTCTCCTTTTCTACAGTATTTAGAGAAAAAGATCGAATTGATTATTTGTCAAAAAACTGATAAATTGCAATCAAAAGAACTTAAGAGTACACGAGATGGCCACAAAAGCGCCTTTAAAACGGAAAAATAGTACGACCTATTACATTTGCCTATTTGTAAATGGTACCACAGAAAATATCAAGCTATTTAAGACAGGACAAAAACAATGTGGTGTATATGTATATATATATATATATATATATATATACATATATATTGTGGTTCAGCCAGTGTATATTCAGTGCTCCAAAAACATTTTTTACATTTATTGTTACTAATGCTTAGGTAGCCTACTTCTCGAAATGGTAAATTACTTTTCATTTCTCTTGTTATATAATATTAAAAAATAATATAATGTAATATAATATATGAATAAATTATTAAACTTATTTTATTTTAATAGATTTTTATTTATTTTTTATTGCTACTGATCTGTCAGTTTAATGCTTAGGTACATTTTAGAATGTTATGTAGACTGTTTTTATTCCTCTTGTTATAATATATTAAAAATATTTCATAATATCATATAATGATAAAGTATGAAAAATATTTATTTTATAAAAAAAAGATCAGATCAGTATTAGATGAGTGTTTTTTTTATTTATTTTGTATTTATTCTCAGTATGTTCTGACTTTGCATTCCTCTTGTTATAATACATTAAAATACATAATAAATATGTACCAAACCCCATCTTTGCTTGCTCACTGATCCAACTAATTAGATATTGGCAATAAACCCAGTGTACGGCAGCGTCACAGCGCCCTCTGATGGCGACGGTCGCGCGTCGCACCGGCAGGAACTGATTCAGCAGCGGCGCGTTTACGCTCTCGAGTCACTCCAGCGCTGCCGACTGTCGGGATGTGACCCCGGAACAGGACGCCTGCTTATACACAACACAGCTCTCAAATACAACAAAAACGACAGAATCCTGGACCAGGAGAGGTAAGACGTCAAAGCGGAGGTGTTTGAGGCAGCATATGAAAATTACGCCCCAAAACGAGGCGCGAATTGAAGCGGTTTGGCTGTTTTTCTGTTGCTAGCGACCTAATGTGTGTGTATGTGAATGGGAATTGTGGGAACTTCATTCAGGGCTTTGTTACAGCCCCACTGTCCAGTTTGCCTGTTAAAACACCCCCTGTATCTTACGCACACTAACTTTTCTCCTTTAAACACTATAGTCGTAAATAAAAGACAGTCTGTTTTACTGACATTCTTCATTTTAAAGATAAATGAGAGATATATGCGCGCGTTTTGTCACAGAAAAAGAGAAGAGGACTGGAGTGATTCCTGTCCGCTAACTGACTGCTGTACTAGTTCAGTATTATACAGATACTTTGTACGCTTAAAATTTAAATGTAATATAATTTGCATATTAATGACGTCGTTTATGATCTATACACGTTGTACTGTTTACCTTCTTTGCTTTTGGACCGCTTTCAGCACACGAATCTGCTGCTGTGAATGCACAGACATGTTTAAATGGTAATTGCGGTTGAACTATAATTTTCCCACCTGATTCGATAAATGCAGCACTTTTATGATGAGTTTTTGTGTTTGCTTGCATCAGTTTAGTATTTATAGGTTTATTTGCTCTTCTTAGACTCAGTTCATAAAGAATCTCAGTCACTGTGCCGCATTATCATGTCTTAGTGGCAATGATAGTCTATTTTTAGTCTCTCCACACCCTAAACTCATTGTGAATACAGAATACATCTGTTTGGCTCACATTCGGCTATGAAACTGGCAGTCTGCCTGTAGTGGGCACTTGAACCGCGCTGGGCTTCGAGAGTTGACGGGACAGGGCAGGGCCAGCTACTTGTGAACTTGGAAGTGAAACTGTTTTTTTCTTCAGTCTTTGCATTCTCCTGAGGGATTCTGACTCTTTGAATCCAAGAAAGACGGTTCTCCTCCTTTATGGCAGGGGGGCAGGTGCGGCTCATGGACTGCTCTGTGTCCCGAAGGGAGATCATCAGCTGCCTTTGAGCTACAAGCTTAGGCATGGACTCAGACCTCCTGCCAAGCCAAGCTTCACTTTTTTTTTT